AAAAAAAAAAAAAAAGATTCCACAGATAATCACAGTGACCTCTGAATTTTTTTAAGTGATAGTATAAATTAGTAAGGGGGAAAGCAAACCAAGTTTAAAAATATACAGAACATTTAATGAAAACATTTTGCATGAAAACAGATGAACATATGGGAAGGGGTAGGAAGAGAAGAGAGAAAAACTAACCACAAGAGATTCTTAGTAATAGAGAATAAACTGAAGATTGAGGGAGGGAAGTGGGTGGGGGAATAGGCTAGGTGGGTGATGGGTACCAAGGAGGGCACTTGTGATGAGCACTGGGTGTCGTATGTAAGTGTTGAATCACTTAAATCTACTCCTGAAACCAGTATTGCCCTGTATGTTAACTAAAATTTAAATAAAAATAAAGGAAGGAAGGAAGGAAAGAAGGAAGGAAAGAAGGAAGAAAATGTTTTGCATGAGTTGAATTTATATAGAGTATGGAAAAGTATTAGTCTTTAGACAGTTTGAAACACGATTTTATTATATGGGTGTGCCATAGGGACACTTAACATAGACTCTCAACATACATTTCTCATATTTTAAAAAACTTAGAATGTTTCTGCATTTAAAAAAATCTCAGTGATGTCTATTTCCATTTCACAGAGGCTTGAAATTCTTTGTGTTTTAAATAATACATATCCCTTACAGAAATACCAATATAACTTCTGCATATATCTGCAGGATGGATATATGTGTGTATGAATACATATGTATATATCAAATACATATACACACAGTTGTTATTTGGAAAAGTATGACTTACAGTAAGGGAATATTCTAAATGTGAAAAGTAAGCCTAGTTGACATTAGATATTCTAATGTGTTTTTCACAGTTTGATTCCAAAACTGACCTTTTTTTTTAATGTTTATTTATTTTGAAAGAGAGAGAGCACACATGTGAGAGAAGCGGGGGGAGGGGCAGAGAGCGAGAATCCCAAGCAGGCTCTGCTCTGTCAGTTCAGAGCCCGACATGGGGCTTGAACTCACAAAGTGTGCGATCATGACTTGAGTTGAAATCAAGAGTCAGACATTTAAGCAACTGAGCCACCCAGGCGCCCCTCCACAACTAAGCTTTTAGAGAGAGATGGTCACACACTAATTTAAATTCTTTGACTCTTTCAGATATTCCAAAAGTCATGATTGAGCCATCAGGTCCAATTCATGTACCAAAGGGAAATGGTACTATTTCAAAGGGTGACGGAGGACACAGTAATTGGATTCCTGACGTTGGAAGTACTAGGTGGCCTCTGAAGACACCATATATTCCTCCTGCTACCAACAGGCCCACTTTTAAGCCAACAGTAAGACCTACACCAGAGCCAACACCGCAGCCAACCCCACCGCCATCCACAGAATTCGGAACATCACCAATAACAACCCCGGAAAGACCAAGCACCAGACTAACAACTGTACTGCCAGTTGCCACTACATCTCCAAGATGGATTACAGTTGACAACAGGATACAGACAGATCCTCAGAAGCCCAGAGGAGATGTGTTCAGTAAGTCATATAAATGTTAGCACATTTTGGGTTTTTTTCCAGTTTTATTGAACTATAATTGACATACAGGGCTATATAAGTTTAAGGAATACAGTGTAATGGCTTGACTTACATAGATCGTGAAATGATTACCACAGTAAGTTTAGTTAACATCCATCATCTCATATAGGTACATAAGAAAAAAATTTTTCTGTGATGAGAACTCTTAGGATTTATTTTCATAACAACTTTCATATAAATCCAATAGCAGTGTTAACTGTAGTCATAACATTGTACATTATATCCCTAGTACTTATTGATCTTATAACTGGAGGTTTGTACCTTTTGACCACTTTCCTCCAGTTCTCCCCCCCCACCCACCACACCTGGTAACCACAAATCTGATCATTTTTTGTAAGTTTTTTTTTTTTAAGATTCTAAGTATAATATGTGAGGTCATATGGTATTTGTCTCTCTCTGACTTACTTGATTTAGCATAATGCCTCAAGGTGCATCCATATTGTCTCACATGGCAAGATTTTCTCATTTTTTAAAGGCTGAATTGTGTATATATTCCATTGTGTATTTATACCACACCTTCTTTATCCATCCATCCATTGATAGACACTGAGGTTGTTTCCATGTTGTGGCTATTGCAAATAATGCTGCTGTGAACATGGGGGTGGAGATACCTCTTTGACATGGTGTTTTCATTTTCTTTGGATAAATACCCAGAAGTGGAATTGCTGGATCATATGGTAATTCTAGTTTTAATTTTTGAGGAAACTCCGTACTGTTTTCCATGGGGGCTGCACCAATTTACATTCCCACCAACAGTGCCCCAAGGGCTCACTTTTCTCCACCTCTTTGCCAGCATTTGTTATCTCTTGTCTTTTTTGATGGTGGCCATTCTAATAGGCACAAGGTGGTATCTCATAGAGGTTTTAAGTTGCATTTCCCTGATAATTACGGACGTTGAGCCTCTTTTCATTTGGCATTGCCCATGTGTGTGTCCTTTTTGGAAAAATGTCTATTCACAACCTATGCCCATTTTTATTTGGATCATTTGGGTTTTTTTCCTGTTGAGTTGTATGAGTTCCCTGTATATTTTAGATATTAACCCCTTACCAGATACATTGTTTGCAAGTATTTTTCTCCAGTCCGTAGTTTGTCTTCACTTTGTTGATGGTCTTTTTTTGCTGTGCAGAAGCTTTTCAATTTGATGTAGTCCCACTTGTTTTTTATTTTGTTGCTTGTGCTTTAGGTGTCATATCCAATAAAATCATTGTGAAGACCCATGTCAAGGAACTTTTTCCTATGTTTTCTTCTAAGAGTTTCATAGTTTCAGGCCTTAAATTCAAGTATTTAATCAATTTTGAGTTAATGTGTGTGTGTTGTATAAGAAAAGGGTCCAGTTTCATTCTTTTGCATGTGAATATCCAATTTTCCCAGCACCATTTGTCGAAAAGACTCTTTTCTCCATTGAGTATTCTTGGTTCCCTTGTCAAATATTAGTTGACCACATATACTTCAGTTTATTCCTTCACTGTTGATTTTGTTCTGTTGGTCTGTGCATCTGTTTTTATGCCAACACCACACTGTTTTGATGACTGCAGCTTTATAGTATAGCTTGAAATCAGGCAGAGTGATGCCTCCTGCTTTGTTCTTCTTTCTCAGGATTGCTTTGGCTACTCAGGGGCTTTTGTATTAAGCACATTTTTAATCAGCCCTTTATAATGACATTTCAATCATAGGTCATGCCTTGAATAAGAATGAAACTTATAAAAAGAATTAGCTGTACAAAATATAAGTCATGTGTCCTTATTGTTAAATGTTATAAAGAACTGTATAAAAGGCAATCAGCTGGGTAAATAATGTGTGTAGCAATGAAGGGAATATCATGAAGTCATGTAGTGGGTCATAGCTCCTATCCAGTGTGATAATTCTCCTAACATGTTCAGATCTCCTCAAAAACTCTGAGATGGGAAGCTTACTATATCAGTGCCATTTAACTTTTAATCTAATCGTTCATTTAATCAGTGAACATTTTTGAGTGTGTTTTAGAATACCAGGCCCTGTATTAGGCATTGGATTTACAAAGATAAAACAGAAAATGTATAATCTTGTTGGGAAAAGATCGTCACCCTGAGGATAACTGGGGTAGTGTGTCGGTGAGAGAGATTTGTGTGGCACTTTATGGAAATAGAAGGGGCACCTAATCACATATTTATTGAGGGCATATTTGGGGTGAGGAGGGCTTCCTGAGTGAAAAGGGGCAAAGAGCGTGAGAAAAGGGAGGCACTGCAGTTCATGTAGACAGCACACCAAAGGCAAAGGAGTAGGAAGCAGCCTAGCATAGGCAATAAAGTGCCAGTAAACCAGAGGGTTGGGTCAAGGATTGAGGAGAATCCCCTTCTGCTACCCCTTCTGTTCGCTGTGACCAGTGGTTGGATCTGGAATCGTTCTCCCAGATTTTCAGGGGTAAGTGGGTAAAGGATGGTGTCACCCATGAAGATAGAGGCTACAGGTAAAGCCACAAGTTCTGAAGAAGGAAGAGGTTGCCTTATGACCAGACCAAAATGTGCAATTTTACCACTTGGAAATATTCACCCTGTATTTATCCATTTGTCACGTTTCACTGTGCTTATTCTTAGCCACCTTTGTGTTCACTCCTCCTGTCTCCTCTTCTCCTCTCCCGGTACTAGTTTCTTCTTTTCCTTTTCCCATTCCTCCGTGATGGAACCAGACCTTGCTCCCTTATAGTGAATACTTTTGCAGTTGTTTACCAGGTGAAAAGAATACTGATATTTATGATCTTTTTAAAAGAGAAGACGTTTCTCTTTGCTTGTGTGTGACTCTCAAATTTTCCTTCTAGGTCATTGTCCATTTATTTTTTTTAATTTTTTTTTTCAACGTTTATTTATTTTTGGGATAGAGAGAGACAGAGCATGAACGGGGGAGGGTCAGAGAGAGAGGGAGACACAGAATCGGAAACAGGCTCCAGGCTCCGAGCCATCAGCCCAGAGCCTGACGCGGGGCTCGAACTCACGGACCGTGAGATCGTGACCTGGCTGAAGTCGGACGCTCAACCGACTGCGCCACCCAGGCGCCCCGGTCATTGTCCATTTAAAGAGAGATTGAGATTCTCCAATTCTGATGTAGTTGTAATTGTGTGTGTTTTGGGCAATAAATATAATTTTTAGAGGAATCAGATGGTAGATCTAATATGCACATATCTTTTACTTGAAAGTAATATATTTGTAATTTTTCTACTCTTTCCCTTTCTCTTGCCCTCCTTTCCTCTTTGTCTCTGCAGTGTCTCTCTCTATTTTACTCCTCTACATTGTTTTGTTTTCATCTCTTTGAGATCATACAGTGGGATCTTTATTCGTGGGTGCTTAAAGTACATATAGTACTTCTATTATTCTTTTGCCTTAACGTAGGGTCGTAAAAACTTGGCTACGTAATATAAAAAGACACCGTAATAACATAGATATCAACATCTTTCTGAGCCTTTAATTTTTTCTCTTTTTAAAAAGTATGTCTTTCTTTCCATTATTCCTCTCTGTATCAACACACATGTGAATTAAAAATAAGCAATCCAATAGAGTTCACCGATCGAATTTAGCAGGATACAATTGGGGAGACATGGGTTCTGATGATGTTTGAGAGCACTCGTTCTAAGAGAGTGTGGTCTTAAAGACATGCCCTGGAAAAGAATTACTTTGATCGGATGCCAAGGTGGTTGCATTCCATAGATAGCATTGCTGCCTCTAGACACTATTGCCCCAAATTAGATTTCACCCTCATTTCATCTTCAGCTATAGCTGCTGGTTACCGTTAGCACGTAGGAGGGTATTTTGGACACTTCTTAATTTGCTCTCTTGTGATTATAGCATATTTTCTGAAAAAGGGGAGGATTCTAAGTTTTTAACTCAGGGCAAACAACTAGTGTTTATTCACTGTCAAAACAGAAAGGAACCTTAGCACTGTTTAGTTCAACACCATCTCTTCGTTGAATATTTTCTTTACATCTGGCAAATAATTTCTTGAAACCATCCTTCTTCTCTCCACGGATCTGAGAATAGAATTTGGCTCTTCTCATTTCATAAATTGTCAGGTGATACTATTTACAACTGCTGTTAGGCAATCTCCAAACAGCCCTATACTTCAATTGTATTTTTCTTTACATTGAAAGATATATATTTGTTTAATGGAAAAGGTTGTTCAACAGAGCTTTTCTTTATTCTGTGTGTGTGTGTGTGTGTCTTTTCTCCCCCTAAGAAAAGACTAAAGATATTTTAAAAGGAAATCAAGGAAAAAAAATTATAATGCAAATACATCTGTAGCCCAACTTTTCCCCCAGCTCTAGATTTGTATATCCACCTGCTTAACCTTTCCAGTTGGACAGAAATACATGTGTCAAATTCCGCACAGCTACTTGTTTCTGATCGTCAGCCCAAATACATTCCACCCATGGTCTTTCTCACGTGGGAGATGTCACCTCCATCCTACTAGTTGCTAAGACCGAAGAACTTAGAATCATCTTAAATTACTCTTTGTATACCCACATTCAATCTGTATGGTAATGCTGTTAGCCTTACCTTCAAATACTATCTAAAGTGGGACCACCTCTCACCATCTCCAGCACAGCCACCCTGACCCAAGCCATTCTTCCCCTGGAGTACAGGTCTGAATTCCTTCATCTAGATGATTTGTGGAATACAGATTTTTTTACATTTTAGAGAAGTAATAAGGTACATATGTATACCAAGGCAGGTTAATGTTTCTACAGTGAAACATAGGAATATTTACACTAATTTGGCTGCCAAAGACAGTTTGCTTAAGTGTAGGTTACTTTTGCCACCTGATGAGTTACAGAAACAGTCTGTGGATTTCAGCTTTATGGGTGAGAAAGCATGGACCTACACCACCGGAGCCTTCCAACAGGTCTCCTTGCTTCTACCCTGGTCCCTCCATGGTCTCTTCTCAAACCAGCACCTAGAGGGATCTTTTATCTT